CCAACAGCTGTCCCACAATCCCACTATTATATATGCTACACACACACACACACACACACACACACACACACACACACACACACACACACACACACACATAAAATCACTATATCAAACTAATACTAATGAGCTTTTTAATACTTATACAGTAGCCATAGATTTTTGTGCTGTTATTCAGCAAGTTTATTTCCACATCTTGTTCCTTAAGATGTAACAACTGCCTGTTTAAGTTTTCTCCAGCAAAAATTAAAAACTAACTTTGTCAAGTAGTCCATTTGCAAAAGTCCTTTTTGGTTATTGCTTTAAAATTTTGAAAGAAAAATGTTTTAGTTGTCCAGTGTTCTTAAACCTTGAAAAAAAATGTATGTGTGGTAATCCAAAAACAACGTAATTTTTAGGTATGGTTTCCAGCATGTCAAAATATATACAATTTTAAAATGAGTTATTTTAATAAAGATATAATCCAGTGGAAGATCCCAATTGTTAAAGAGAGAACATGAAWTGTCTTTCTGCTGAGATGTTACTCATAAAATTAGCTTCTTAGTTAAAATTAAACCAATGTTTAATTTTAACTGCTTTGAAGCAGACAGAAAGTTAACGTGTAACACTGTAAGATTACAATAAACTAGTCCTGCTTCTGAACACAGGCTCACCTCAACAAATCTGGAAAAAAAAAGGCAGAGCTCACCTCAAACCCAACTCTGCCAGAGTGACGTGAGCATTTAACTGTACTTGGAAGATGCTTTGACACAATTAAAAAGTCTGTGTTCCAAAATAAAGTCCATTTGGTTTACTCGACGGGCCCGCTAATGCTAACAAAACACTCATTTCAATCAACTGCTGCACATTTCAGTGCCACATCCTAAAAAGCTGTGTTTCAGTCTTTGTGCTTTTTTTTCCTGTTTATAAGGATCAGAAACACCAGAATCAAAAGATGTGACGTGAACACAACTGATCACACCAAAGTCTGACGGAAATATGACTAAAAGCAATTAAATAACTTTTTACAAGATTTACATTTAAATCCATTGTGTAAAGCAAAAAATCACAACATTCCCTGGTGTTAGAGTTGACTCAGTGAGGATCAACTGGAACACAAAACCTTTTTTTTTTTTTTGCAAAAAGTTAGATGATCCTCTAGTGACCCCTTGAGGATAAACA